ACACACACACACACACACACACACACACACTTCTGACCTAAGTGGCAAGGGAGGATGGGAAACTGCAAAGCAATGCTGGGAGTGCTAGCGATCAAACGCAAAGAGATCACGAGCTGATTGCTGCTTTCCTGCAGAGAGTCTGCCTTGCAGTTTCAGCCCTGCTCAGTTGGAGAGAAAATTTGGAGCCAAGTGTAAGATACCTGAGATGGGGCAGGGGGGGAGGAAAACGAGGGGGGCATCTCTTGTTCTCTTCCCTTCTTTCTAATGTATTTGGTGCAATGGGTGCTTTGATCCACCAAGTGATGGCATCACGGCTTGACCACCCTCCTTAGCAAACCATGTTGGGGAAATGGGTGGGGAGGGTTCGAAGGGACAGGAAGATGGGAACTTCTCCCAAGTCACCAGGTGCTCCTGGACAATGTGCTGTATCAAGCAGGTGAAGAACCAACCTTTGAAAGAGAGGGGGCTTTACATCTCTTTTTGAAATGGCTCTAACTTGGCTTAAATCTTGAGGGCTTCAGCTGAATGGCTGGAAGAGGCATTAAACTGGAAGGGCTCCAGCAGAGTTTAAAGATAACTACGGCCTGTGGAGTGCCAGGAAGGAAAACTGCATTCAACCACATTTGTCTAGCCCATTGTTTCTCAACCTTAGCAACTTTAAGATGAGTGGACTTCAGCTCCCAGAATTCCCCAGCTGGCTGGGGAATTCTGGGAGTTGAAATCCACTCATCTTAAAGTTGCCAAGGTTGAGAAACACCGGGCTAGCCAGTGCAGGAAGGGCAGTCTGTACTTCTTATTGCCCAGTGTTTCTCAACCTTGGCAACTTTAAGATGAGTGGACTTCAGCTCCCAGAATTCCCCAGCCCGCTGGGGAATTCTGGGAGTTGAAATCCACTCATCTTAAAGTTGCCAAGGTTGAGAAACACTGGGCTAGCCAGTGCAGGAAGGGCAGTCTGTACTTCTTATTCTTCTAATTCCAGAAACCCTTAAAAGCAGACTTTTCTTTCTCTGGGGGAGAAAATAAAACAAGAAGGTGACAGCAACAAGAACATGAGTGCCCTCTCCCACTTTTCTTTCTTAGCTACCACTACAACATGTTGACTGATTATTCTGCCCTGGAAATGCAACTTGAGGCAGAAAAGTTTGTCCCTGTTTGATCTAGTAACTCCGGGGATGTCTGCAGGAGAGGGTAAAATTCAATGCGGCACCCACAACTGCACAACAGTAGGGAGCAATTGGGCTTTAATCACATGGCTGTGGCTGTCAGAGCGATGTTTTTGACCCTCCACCCCCTTGGATAGCCCTCCTTGCACTGAGATGGCCAGCTTATTGTCCCTCAGTTCGACTTTTCTTATGTGCGTGGCAGGAAGAGCCTTGATCACACCGTTACGGCTGCCAACTTGACATTTTTGACCATACCCTGTGGACACCCTGGAGCTGCTAGATCAAACATGGGCAGACATGTCTGCCTCGAGTCGCATTCCCCCACGTAGAACCATTACAGCCACCATCTTGACTTTTTCAATCATAATCTGCAGATACCTCTGAGGAGCTCCCTAGAATTTCAAACTGGACTCTATCTAAACTGCTACCTGAAGAAGCCAAAGACAATGTAGGATGACCTGGAATGATGGTCCTCCTTAAGATGGCAAACATTCTAAAGAAAGCAACGTGGAATTCAAAGGGAGTTTTCTCAATGCAAAATGAGAAGTCCATAGCGCTGGGCACAGAACCAGCTGGAGCAGGGGCATGAAAATAGAGTCAAATGCAGACTTCTTCACTTAGGGAAAGGAAACCAACCAACTTTGTAGTGGATGAGGGAGACTTGCTTTGGTTATAATACTTGTAGGACCACCAACATCAGTCGTCGTCATCATCATCATCAAAAATAAGTCAGCAGTGGGACATGTTTGCCAAGTGGTAAATGCACATCAACAAAAGAAGGCAACTCTTTAGCTCTATTCTGCACTGATCGGTCCCCCCCCCTCAGGTCTTGGGTTCAATTCAGAGCCCACATTTTAAGGATTCAGACTCATCCCCTCACCCTCCTTGGCCTGGTCCCAGCAGCCTCCATAGGGGAAGATGGTCAAAACATCAAGATGGCAGCCATAACTGTACAATTGTAGAAAGGGACTGGGCTGTAATCACATGGTTGTGGCTATCAGTTTGACCACCCACCCACCCATCCCCCTGGATGCCCCTGCTGGGCACTGAGATGGCCTGCTTACTGCCTGGTGTGGACATGTTCTCACCAGAGAGCCTCCATCTTGGAGGAAAGTCCAACTGGGGTTGGAACCAGGCTTCAATTGGTCCAACTGGTCTCCTTCAGGACCTCCCCCATCCAACTATAGGGCTCTGTGTCTCTATAAATGTTTATGCTTTGGCTGCTGGGGAGAACAGGACCTCTCCAACAACCTTTTTTCTTTTCTTTTAGACTCAAGTATGAATGGCCACCAGGTGGAAGACATTCCAGAAGATGGCTACAAGTTACTTCCACTTCTGCATCCCAAAAAGCAGCCTTCTTTCTCTTGTCCTCCAGCCTGCCTGCCTCTTCCCCCACCCAGTGTGAATCCCTTTTCTACACTACTTCGATGAATGTATGCATTTTTGTATAGACATTTCCCTAAATATACATTTTTATTAACTGCAAACCATCTGCATTGCAACATTTGGAGACATGCACATCTGAACAGCAACTAAGTTTTAATTCAGATAAACGCTCCAAAATAGAAAATCATAGAAGCCTGCATTAAAAGTTGACGCAATTTTTTTATTATTACTATTATTAGATTTTTTTATCCTCCTTTTTTAATATTTGGTCCCATGCCTTGCTGGAAGGTCAATCCAATAGAAAGTCAATCTGTGTTACTTTCCATATCATTCTCATTTGCCGGGTACAAGTTTGCTCAATTCAAGTTTGGCCCTGTGATTTTTTTTTTTTTTAAAGATCTCTACACCAACATTTATATGCATTTTTTTGAGAAACTTTTTCACAAATGGACACACAATTTCATTGTCTGTAATATATTGCATTTTTTTCTGCCCAGTTCCCTTAAAGTATGAATTTGGAGGTGCATTTTTAAATTGAAGAATACAAATGCCTTGCTGTAGGGGATATTAACAGAATCTTGAAAGCTGGTCCAAGATTCTTTCTGTCCCAGCTTATACTAAACAAAATCAAGACAGGAATGTTTTGAATTTCTTTCTCATGCTTCCTTCTACCTCTGGAGCATGTAATCTCTTCTGCAAGTCCCTCCTGATCTGCTTGCTCCTTCCTCCTCCCCCCCCCCCCCGCCATTAATGGCTCTCTTATAGTTTCCCCAAGGTCAACTCTAAATTCCTTTACAAAACTCAGAAAACAAATTAATTCAGGGACCAAGCTAAATGTGTTGTGCCAACGCAGCCCATGTATCTCACTGCTTCTTTTCAGTCCATTTTTTTCCCAACCTTAATTAAAATTTTCTAGGGCCCTGGGGAAATGATGCAAACTCCATCCATACTCAGCAACCCTGGTCTGTGGAAGGAGACAGTTTTAATGCATGGCTTCAGATGCTGTTTCTTCCCCCAACCCTCCTTGCAGCTCCCGAAAGCATTTTTGTACCCTCCTTCTAAGGAAGACTCTGGAGTCCTTGCAACAAACGCCCTGTAGAAATGCAGTGCATCAAATGCCAAATTGTTAGGGTTTTTCGGAATCAGACGGATGGGTTTCCAAGAAGGATCTTGCCAGCAATTGATGTGCTGGAGCCGGAAACTTCCCAGAAATGGGAAGGGATTTTAAGCAGCAGAAGAAGGATGCTGGCTGTGGTGTGCATTTTTCCCCCCTTCTGGATCACCTCACAACCTGAAAAGATGCCATCAGCTGATCAGTATT